ACTACCACACATAAAACAAAAAACAGAAATGTAGAAATGATGCACCAAACACTGGTCTACACTAGTCCAGAGAAAGAACATATCAGCCAAAGGCCTAGACTAGTTTTTCTTAAAGTATAATCCCAGGAATATCAATAGCATCATAGTATTTATACCATCCACACTTATTTTTTAATATCTGTCTCATTCATTAACCTGAACAAGACACAAAACAGGAATTATGTCTAAACAACCGAGCAAAAACCAATGCATAGAAAGGGCTCAATAAATACTTGATTCTAAGATAGTAATAGCATCAAGTCCTTCCAGAAAGATTCAAATTAGTTATATAATAATAAAGGATACAGTATCTTCAAGTAGTCACATAATCAATGGAAAAAATGAAAGTAAAAATGAATACACTAGATAAAAATTTCATTATAAAAGAAGTTGTGCCTTTATTATCAAACCATAAATTAAAGTCAAAGAAGAACATGTTTCCATATGTATATTTACTGTAAATAAATTATAAACCACAGAAAATTATAGTCATGAATCACTATTACTTAATAACTGGGAATATTCTAAGCAATGCATTGTCAAGTAATTTTTCGCATTGTTTCAACATTTAGAATCTACCTACACAAAACTAGATGATAGAAAATTAACACAAATGCTTTATTTTACATTGTATTGCTCCTGTATATTAGCTACCGGTACCATGTATTACTATAGAGAATTCAGTAGGCAACTGTAAATGCTAAATATTTTGTATCTCTAAATTAAGTTAAACAAAGAAGGTACAATAAAAAATAGATTGTTTAGCTTCATTATAATTTTATGGGATTACCATCATAACCATATTCCACATCTGATCAAAATGCTCTACAGTATATGAGTATATCACATAAATAAATCACATAACGCATTTGTTACATAATACTGGTGTGAATATAGCATGTAATATTCCATATATTTTATATAATCCAAAAAATCCTATAGTTATCTTGTATTCTAAGGCAAATATAATAGGTCAAACAAGCATAGTATTCCCAATACAAATGCAAAAGAAAGGCAAATTCTGTAAGCAATATGTTTTAGTCAATAGAATTGAAAAGTGGTAAGAATGTGATGATACAAAATTCCAAAGAGGAGGTAAATTTTCTGAGGTGAACTTAAAATTGTCAACCCCTTTGAGAATATTTTCTGATTCTGGATACAGGCTGAGGATGAGTGTTGGCCCAAGCAGAAAGCTCCTCAAAGAAAACCAATAAAGTCTGAACTGCAATCAAGGGCTTCAATGATAAAATGGAACTTGTAAGTCCTCAAAAATAAAGCTTAATTCTACCACATATTTGTGACTGCTAGTGTTGGTTCATCTTTAAAGTAATTTCATATCATTTACAAAAGTCAATTTCAAATAGATTGTAAACATAAATGTAAGTAAAACCAGTGAGATCATAGAAAAATAATGCACAAACATTCTCACGACCTTGGAATAAGCATACATTTTAAAAGCAGGACTAAGGCCATAACTTTCAAAAAAATAATTGATTACCTGTACTACAATCTATACATGAACTAATATGTTTGCGATTCACATTTATGACTTATATTCAGAAAATTAAGAGATTCTCAAATATGAGAAGGCAACAGACCAACTGAAGGACAACTCAAAAGAGATTTGAAAAATCATTTCATAGAAAAGGCTTACCCAGAATAGAACCAAACATGACTGCAAAAAAAGGGTCAATAAAATGATTCATAATGACATTCTGCTATACTCAGATTGGTGCCTAGCCCAATTGTCATCAGAGAGGCTTCCTCCAGGAGCTGATGAGAGCAGAGCTTGAGGAACCACAGCAGAAGATGGGGGAAAGGATTGTAGGGGCCAGAGGAGTAGAGAACACTAGGATAACATGGCCCCCAGACTCAACTAAGCAGGCCTCTTAAGGGCTCAAGACACTGAAATAGCAATCACCAAGCCTACACAGGTCTGTGATAGGTCCACTGCAAACATACTATGGTTGTTTAGATGGGGATTCGTTGGACTCCAAACAGTAGGAGTAGGGTTGTCTCTGACTCTTTTGCCTACTTTTTGAACTCCTTCCTACTGGGTTGCCTTGTCCAGTCTTGATATGATGGTTTGTACCTAGTCTTATTGCATCATGTTATGCTATGCTTGGTTGATATCACTGAAAAGACTGCTCTTTTCTGAAGGGAAACGGAGGAGCAGTGGATCTAGGGTAGAGGCGAGGTGGGGAGACTTGGAGAAATGAAAGAAGGGTTTATTGTATGGGAGAAGAATAAATAAAAGGTAAAGAGAAATAAAGAAAAGAAAGAAAAGGTTGTGGAAAGAATCATATAAACTACCTTTAAAAAAGTGATCAAAGTCTTTAATCATGAGGAAAATATCAGATAAAAACCACAGGGATACATTTCTTCATGCATATGAGTTCTACTGTGAAAATGGCCAAACAAGCAAAATGTCATGAGTGGGGGAAAATGAGTATATTAATATAACTATTTCAGCATATGAACAGCAAAATAGATAAACTGTGTTTGGGCTGGTATAACAAAATAACATCCAGTATGGCTTAAACAACAAACAGTTTTTAATAACTCTAGATACTGGTAGATCTGGTGTCTAATGAAGAACATTTTCTGATCACAGATTTCTTTTATTCTGCATCGTCACATGGTGGAAAGTACAGAGATACAAACTCTCTTACATCACTTCATATTCAGGCTGTAATTCTGCTCATACCAACCACTCTCAGAAGCTAAAGCCAAGTATCACATTTGGGACAGTATTTAAAATATGAGGTTAAGCCTCACAGGCAAAACCTGGGGTCTAAGTTAAATAAGATCTAGGGGTCTAGCATGCAAAACATCTTAATAATATACTATATCTATTAAGATCTAATATATATATATATACATATAGATAGATAGATAGATAGATAGATAGATAGATAGATAGATAGATAGATAGATAGATTTATATCTAGATCTAGAAATAAACCTAGCCACATAGGCTAGATCAAGGGTACACCAGAAGTATACTTGCATTCACTTCGGTTTCAGACTTGAATCTCATCACTAAGAAGAAACCCTAGTACCTTGCAAGCCACCAGAACACAGCCAGAAACCAGTTAACATCAAACGTATGACCAATAACATAATTGAGCCCAGCAGAAGTAGCCACACTAAAAGTTTTCTGAAAGATGCCCTACTATCAGAATGGGAAGATAATATACTTGAAAAAGAAAACAAATTAGTTTAGGAAAAATGATGATAGTAAACAGTAAATGATGATGAAAGTGTGCTCCTTCTTACACACACACACACACACACACACACACACACACACACACCTGAAATATATTGAGTCCTTATAACAGTATGATAAGGGCAATATTTTAGTATCTTATTTAAAAACAAGGAATATAAAACTTGAGGATTTGCCCAAGGCCATACAGCTAGTAAGTAGAAGAACATGAATTCAAATGAAGGAAGTCTGAGTTTTGCTCCAGGAAGTTCTGTTTATTCATTTATTCAATAGTTGTTAGTAGGTATATATCAAATGTCAGGCATTCAGATACAGACTGCAAACAAACATGAATTAAAGAGAACCCAACTTCACAAAGTAACAGAACCAGGAAGCAGATTTATAAAGAAAGTGCCAGAAGAGAGGTACTAGGTAACTACTATCCAAATATATGAACATCTTTTTCCTGTGGAAGATCAAGATGGAAATTTTAAATGGGTTTTGAAAAGTAAATAGAATAAAAGCAATCCCAAAAGAATAGGAAATGCATTTCAAATATGGAAGACTGTGTGTATAAAACATACCATGTAATGATTACAGTTTTACATACATGAGAGAAAAGTATGCAGAAAGAAGAAAGGCAGTCAGTCACCCGTTTTCCTGAAACAACATTATAGGCATCTCCATTGAAAGAACATACAGAGCCCAGGTCACCTAAGGTTTCATGGGAACAAACATGAAAATTTAGTTATTTGTTAAAAGCTTCAACAAAATTACATTTTTAGCAAAAAAAAAAAAAAAGGAGAACTGAAGCTTTGCTCATTAGGCAACTTACTTTAAGGTAGCTTTTAGAAAGATTCAGGTGTTGTTCTTGTAATAGAACACTGTTGCCAAGGTGATAGAGACTTAAACAATTAAATAAATATAATTGTAACAAATATGTTCTCAGACGAGACAACTCTGCAAAAAGAACTCAGAGCATTTGAAATACCAAGACCTCTCTCATCACAGCACAGAGAGGAGAGTAAGATAGTCAGAGCACTGTGCTTCAGGGTGTTGCTCGCCTTGAAAGAATGCTTACATTTTACAGCACAAGTCTTACAGGCTCTGTCTCTAAACCTCCTTACTACCCACATTCTTCTTTTATGTAGGTTGAAACAATTTTGATTCCAATATGAAAAACATTCTTTCCTATGCTTTATCTCACCACATTGCCTGCTTCAATTAATTTACTTCAGGACTCAGTACTCAAAGGTGATCCCATATTCTTGGGAATGGTATATTTTATTTATATATGATTATTCATGGTCACCACTTACATGTGACTTTTTTCTAAAAAAAAAAAAAAAAAAAAACTTCCTTCCAGTTTTTGAAAGAATTATACATAACCTGGTATATAATTGTTGTGTATAATCCAACACATGACCCACTGCATAATAACAGCACTGTTTCCATGTACTTGTGGTGTTTTAGATTGTATCAAACTTTTACATACTCTCTCATGTAATCTTAATAAAATTTTTCATCATTTTCTATGAACACTACTTTGTCTATAACAATGAAGAAAGGGTTCATGGAAGGCTGGTTTCACCCAGGGCCACAAACATGGTTTCATGCAGAACAAAGCCTTGAACTCTAGGTTGAATGACTACAAACGTAACATTCTCTATACTAACCTAAAGCCTTTACTAAACATGACACAATGTTTAATAAAACCTAGTGAAAATAATTTGAATTTTATTAGTCCTACTAAGGTTACACGGCTTTGTCCAAGTCACAAACAACACATCACTTTTTTCAAAAGGAAAAAGGCATAATGACAATATGCTGTTAAATTGCAAACCTGTCCCAAATACCACTCCACTATACACACAATAGAAGGAATGCATGTGCAGATTTTAGGATTACATCTGGAAGCACACAGCCTTGCTTTATATTACATCAAATGACTTCTTCAACCTTATGACATGTCATAAAGTTATTGACTATGGTTAATATTAAAATATAACAAAAAAACTTGTAATAATATATTCTGGTTCTGGTTTCAATTCTGATTCTAATTTCCTTAAGTTGTATGGTAACTCCTCTAAATTGCTCCCTTGTTTAACAAATACATTTGTGCAAGAATTAAATAATAGAGCATGATATATAAAGCTTTTAAAACAATCATGAAGGTGCTGCTCAATAAATGGCAGTCACTTTAGATTTCGCAGTTGTTGGTATTGCTACTATTACTCAATAATTTCCTTTTTACTACCAGTTAGTATCTCTGTAGAGATTGAGTAAAGCACTAGAAAATGGAAAGATCTCCCATGTCCATGGATCATTAGAATCAACATTGTGAAAATTACCATCTTACCAAAAACAACTTACAGAGTCAATACAATCCCAATAAAAAATGCCCACAACACTCTTTATATAAATAAAACCATAAAATTCATATGGAACCAAAGCAAGAAAAAGACCCCAGAGAGTCAAAGCAATGCTGAGCAAAAAGAATACCAGAGGGATTGCTATTCCAGACTTCAAGATATATCATAGAGCTATAGTAATAAAAACAATGTGGTACTAGCACAAAAGCTTATATAGATCAATGTAATGAAATACAAGCCCAAATATTAACACTTGCCCACCTGGTGAATGAGGACTCCTGGGTGCTGACTGTACTGTAAGCCCAATGATCAGCTGAGAGAAGGTGAATTAGCCTCTAGCAGGGATTAGCCCCCTTATTGGATGCCTAATGCATACTGACCAGTCCTAAAATCAAATTCAAACAACAAAACAGACTAAACACATTGTATTTCTATATATTTGCATACAGATTTGTATACAGTGTACACATATTTATGTATGTAACAAAAATAATCAAAGGAAAACTATTAACTTGAGAGTAGAGGCAGCATGTGAGGGCTTGAAGGGAGAAGGGGACCTGAGAGGGGTTGCAGGAAAAAGGGATGGAGGAAAGTGATGTAACTGAATTTCAATTAAAGCCTTTTCTTCTAGAGAGTTAATATTTTCAACTTTTATTTCCTACTTTTAGAAAGTAATTTGTGTGCAGACTATTAAAATTGCTTTGGACCACAATGAATCCATATTGTTAAATAATTCACAGGCTTATGTGAATCACCATAAAATAAAATAATCTTGTCTGTAAATTTGAGGATGCCAAAATTAGAAAGCAAAACTCTACTTCATGAGCCTGAAGCATTACTTTCTCATAACACTCTCAACAGTAATGGAACTTGAATGTGTAATGGTACTTTTTCTGTTTTCCTGGGAGAGACTTTCAATGATATACAAGGCCGGCACCAATCATTTTTTCTTGCTTATTTTATCTTAGAGGCATTTATTATTTAACAATAATTATATTTCATATGAGTGGTAGTTAAATTCCCTGATTTAAAATGTGTTGCCTCTTACCCACCCACTGCCTTAGTAACCACATGACATGTAACTTTCTAACAGTGTTAATCTTTGTTGTTGCTGATGGCTTCATTATTGCTGCTGAAACTACTATTCCTTTTTAAAAATTATATCCTATGTGCCAGAGTATTTTTGATCATTAATTTAACAATACTGTGTGTCCTGAACAATGAATACTACCACCACAGCTTTGAGAGGAAACTTTTCCAAAATATTCATGATGGTATACTGAAGACAGACTGAATTTCCATATTTCAAGGTTTTGAAGTATCACCTGTTATATTTATAGACTTACTAGTGAATTACTAGGAAGTTACCCCAAGTGGCATGAAGAGTCAACATAGTCTGGCATAATAGGTTGGGGCAGGGCCAGGTCCTCTCCCATGCAATAAGACTGAGCATGGCATCACACCATAGGGAATGGGCTCCAACAAGATAGGTCATGCACTGGGATTATCCCATGTTCCTACTGCTACTGAGCATGGCACCCCACCCTAAGGAATGAACTCCAATAAGCTAGCTCATATACCAGGTTTATATTGTGCTATATTGTGGTCCTACTGCCAGGGGCCCCTGAGCTAGTCCAAGCTTTACAACTGTCTGCCACATGCAGAAGACCTAGTTCAGTCCCCTGCAGTCTCCATAGTTGTAGGTCTAGAGTTCATGAGTTTCCATGAGCTTGGTTCACTGTATCTGTAGATGTATCCAAAATGATCTTGACCTCCCTTGCTCATATATTCCCTCCTCCCTTTCTTCAAATGAATTCCCAGAGCTTGGCCTGGTTCTTGGTTGTGGATCTCTGCACCTGGTTCCATCAATTACTGGATGAGGGCTCTCTGAGGATACAGTATTCATCAATCTGATTATAGGGGTAGATCAGTTCAGGCAACCTCTCTACTATTGCTAGGAATGTTAGCTGGGGTTCTCCTTGTGGGTTCTTGGGAGTTACCTTAGCACCAGGTTTTTCCCTAAGCCCATAGTGACTGTCTCTTAAATAAACCTTTTTAAATAGAAAAATAGATTAAGATTTATTTTATACTATGGTTCTTAAAAATATTAAGCCTGTTGGTGGTGAAATGTGACTATTTCTTGGACAAACATGTCAGAATTTAAGTGTGGAAGGCATCTAGGAAGAGTGAAAAAGGGGGGTAGATTCAATATGCAAATCAAGAGTTTTAAAGGTATTGAAAGTTGGATAGCAAAGACAATGGTCCTACAGGATAATAACTGCTGTCAGGAACCCTGAGATGGAACTACCTCCTTCCTGAAGTCCCCAGGCTCAAGAATGAAGAAGAGATAAGGAGACTATCCTCAACAGAGACAACATAGCCAATAAGGAGAAAAGAGATAGACAGAAAAGAAAGCTGTGACTGCCAGAAGATGGTTTCCCTGAGTATGCACATATGTTTATGGAAATGATCTTCTTGAGGAAATACTAAATTATTATAGAAGAGACAAATTGTGCTCTAATATGTCAGTATCAATTCCCAACACCATGACCTGGCAAGAACAATTTAAGAGAAGAGTTGGTTATTTTAGATGACAATCAGAGTTGATGAAGGGTTAGGTAGGTGGGCAAGAGGACAGGAACTCCCAGCTATGGTGCAGGAATGTAAAATTACTTGATCATATCTAAATAGACAAAGAACCAGAGAGCAGACTATATGAGCTACAAACACCAAAGCCTCCTAGGATATACTTCCAGCTAGGACCTACTGCCCAAAGGTTCCAAACCTCCCAAAAGAGTGACACCATATCAGAAAAGCCAGAAACAATTCCTTTCCTCAGCAAACAAACAAACAAACAATAAAACACTCAGTATTTGAGGTGCTTGGTGTACTCAGAGGAGATTTGCCTGGATAAAGAAAAAACTGCTAGCAATATCCATCAAGGCTGTAAGCAAGATCTGAATCAATGGAACATTAGTTTCTTCATAGTATAACTATATCCCCAAACAAAAGTCAAAATATTATGTAAATGCAAAAATATTCAGGACATAACAAGGCAAAATTTACATTGTTTGAAATCTAATAAAAACTACTGAGTATACAAGCAAGTAGAGCACATCATAATAAGGAAAAAACTTAGATGACTGAAACTTATTTAGGGATCATGCAAATGATCAAATTGGTAAATAAAGATACCATTTTAGCAAAAGAAGAAAAATTATAGTAGTATCTATATAGAAAGATAAAGAGTTTGTCTAAATCAGCACTTGTGTCTGAACTCTGAAAAACTATAAATAAAAAATCAAATTACACAGAGATTTTTGTACAGGACATCTACAAAACATGTAGATCTAAACTAGAATTTATTATGGAAATAAAGAATTTTCCCCTTTGCAAAAAATGATTAGGCTGTACTTCTATTCAGTATATGAGGTTCTAGCAATGAAATAAATCAAAGTAAAAAGACTAGAGATATGAAGTAAATAATAAAAATAAGGAAATCAATTTCCTTCTTTTCAAATGACATGACTGGCTATACAGAAAATCCCATGCTTCTTATACTGATAAGCATTTGGGAGACTACAGGACATAGGATCAAAATGAACCCATGTATTTGAAACTTAAAACACAATGTCTACCAAAAATCATCAGATATAACAGAAAAAGTCTGACAAGAAATGTGAATGAATTCCTAAGATGAAAATTATAAAATATCCTTCAGAAAAATTCAACAGAATTAATAAAAATATTGTATTCACTGCAAAGAAGACTCTATATTAATTAAATCTTATTTCTATCTAAATTGACCCATAGATTCAATATTAACACTCTTTTGTGTAAAAACAGATAAACTTATTTTAAAACTCCCAGAGAACTGAAAGAATCTAAAATTACCATACATCTTAGAAATGAAGTACAAAATCCAGGAACTTGACAATATTACATTTTAAGACTTTAAAAGCTACAATAAATGATACCTCAAATTGACAATGAAAATTTATATAGAAAACTAAATGCAAGTTGACAATGAGAAGGATCAAAGGCATTTCACATATAATGGCTACTGGTACTAATGAATGTGTATAAACATTTCTTTGTTCCATAGAAAACTATCAAATTGAAGCTAGTGAAAGACAGTGACAATTAGTGGGGAAATGACTGGAAAAAAATCATGAGGGATTATATTCACTAAAGTTATTTACTTTATTCACTAAAGAATGGAAAGCAACACATATTTGTAATCTGTCCAAAGACTATAAGAAAAATGGTATGAATAGTGTTGTGAAATCCATAATCTCAGTGCTCAGGTGCCTGATGCAGGTGGATCATAAGTTGAAGACAGTCTGGACAGAAAGAACCTATCTCAAACACAGAGACACAAACCTGCATAT